GGACCTTCCTGGAGCCAGCCCCTGATCAGTATCAGCAGCGGCTCACTTGGGGGCACCTGGGGTAGAGCAGCTGGGGGGCTGCCAGGTTGGTCTCGCAGCGCCGAGGGGCGGCGCTACCGGACCAACCTGGCAGCACTCTAGCTGCTCTGCTGCAGGCGTCCCCAATTCAGCCTTTGCTGAAACTGACCAGCAGCGGCTGAATCAGGGATGCCTGGGGCAGAGTCGGACTATCGGAAGGGGGGGCTATGAAGGGTCTGGGGTGGCGTCCCCCCCAACCCAGACCCCTCATAGGCCCCCCTTCCGATAGTCCGGCATAGCTGATAATCTGGCACCCCCTGGGTCCTAAAGGTGCCAGATTATCGGAAGTTTACTGTACAAGGAATCTGGATATACAGAAGCTTGTTTAATGGTTGATAAATAATACTATGATTTGACAGAGCATATTTCCATCCAAGACTCTCAAAAGGCTTTACAAAGAAAGGTACAGGTCATTATCTCCCTTTCAAATGGGGAAACAACAAGGTTAAAGCAATTCGTGGATTTACAGGATAACTGCCAGCCTTTCCAGTGTTATTGTGAAACTTGGAGTTTGAACTACAACTAGCCACTTATATGAGAATAACAAACCTGCAGATTATTCTTGATTAGTGATGAGCAACTATTTAGTTTAAGAAGCAACAGACTTTATTCAGCAAAACTCTGTCAGTTTATAATCCTTTTTACTATGTCAGTTTTCCTAATAGTTTCTCATTATTCAATTGAAATAAAATACTCCTCAGTCAGAATTTTGTTCATGATTCTCAATGGAAATAAAAACTGAGGATTAACAAAAATGTGAAAAATAATCAATGTTTTAATAAATAGGCTTTTTATCATTAGAGCTAATTAGGAATTTCCCATTGACATTATTTTGACAGATAATACAACTGACATTTTTCCCAGGACATTTTTATTTTTCCCAAAGTACTTTTTTGATCTTGCACCAAGAAAAATGAAATAAAACATTTGATTGCTGGCATAACCCAAAATGTTTTAGTACTTCATGAATGTTGTTATAATTTGAGCATCTTATGCCCTCACTTTCTCTTCCTGGCTTGGCTCTCTACAAACTACATTTCGCATAATGCAGTGTGGTCTTTTCCTCTGACTGAAACATGTGAGGCAGTAGCAGAAATGTAGTCTGGCAAAAGAGCGAGGTGCACTGTAGAAAATAGACCAAAACTGCACTTTTCTGCTCTCATAGGAAATTGGAGTTTCATGTTAAACTGACTGAAAATGTTTTGTTTTGATTAAAATGATTAAATGAAACATTTCACCATTTCTGAATCAACTTTTTTCCCCTCAAACTTTCAGTTTGTGAAAAATATTGCTTTCAACTTTTCATCCTAATTTAGAATTTTTTTCTTTTTTAAAATGTTGAAATATCAGCATTTCCCTCAGGCTAGAAATTCAAATTCTTGCTCAGCTCTAATTATTAGTTATAATTAATAACTAATTATTAGTTGTAATAATTAATGTTCAGATATACATCCATATTCTCATAAGATTTTTTAAATTGAGAATTGCCATTCAGTAGAATTCATGAATGCCTTGGAATCATCAACATCGATGTGAAATCTATATTTTGTATTCAGTAAAATGACATTTCTTTTTTTACATGTTTTAATTGCAATAAATTTGGTGTGTTCTAGCCAGCCACATTTTTCATAAGTGGCACTCAAGTTAGAGATGTCAAAAGAGGTGCCAGGGACTTATCCTGAAAACATTTATATGCATTCTTAACTATATTATCAGGAGTAGGCATACTGAAATCACTGAGACCACTCAGAGATAGCACAGTTAAGCATGTCTGTAAGTATTTGCAGGCCCATGGCCCGAATAAAGAAAATAAATTATAATCTTACGGTTGCATCTCCTGATCAGAAATGAGGCATGTTAAAAAGGCAGTGGAAGGAAGTTCATTCTGCTATTGCACATCCTGAATATGTTAAATGAATACACACAGCTCAAAGCCTATCAATCTGAGATTTGTCACAAACATGACATGCAAACAAACAAACCAACCCCACTTGGACTGTAAGCTCTTTGGGTTAGGGACTGTCTTTTAGTTCTCTGTTCACATAGCACTAGCACAATGGAGTCTGGGACTGGAATTCCTAAGTGCTACAATAATACAAAGAATAAATAACAAGAATAGCAATATAGTGCGAGGACCTTTGTGCCTTATAATATACTTCACAGTGGTATTAAATGGTATCAATAAATACACCTGTATCTTTTTGCTTAAATTTGCATTTCAAAAATAAATGAAAAGTATTGAACTAAATGACTAAATTCCTTAGAAAAACCAACCTTTAAAGCTTCTTTCTGTGTGAATAGCACTTCTTTCATAGAAGAGTTTTTTGTCCACAGTGATGCTATTGCTTCATATGTTCGATGGCTTGCAGCATATACTTTTTTCCCTGATACCTATTTTTAATTAGTTAAAATGTATTATTTTAAGAAGAAGCTTCACAAATGGTAAGAGTCACAGAACACTTCAAATAAAGCAAATGTTCCCTTGTATTAAACTGTACATTAGCTGAAATATTGGAAGACAGAAAATCTGCATTTCATAAACATAATATATCTCAGACCTCCCCTCACTTCCATTCTTATATTATAAATTGTGTTTAAACTGGTATTGTAAATCATCCATTTACACAAAATTGATTTGAAATTTAATCAGAATGGTTTGAATAAATGAATGCACTAAAGGCTGGAACTGCAAGAAAAGTCAGACATATATGCCACAAACCTGAAAGAAATACGTGACTCATTTTAAGTGGAGTCTTGCTTTATGCCCAGTTAAAACAAATCCCATGGTGAGGAAAGATACAACCAGGAAATAAAAAGAGCTGACTGAAATTAGCGAATATTGCTGTTTTTCTGCACAAAGGTCTGAATTTGTACATTATTATTCAGCTTTTAATTACTGCAACATATATGGAGAGGCTCTGTAGCCAGGGAGGATTCTACTTCCTCACCCACAGAGAGCTATGCACAAAGATCTGGTACTATGGGTATGTATGTACTGTCCTGCAGTTTGAACTACAACAGCATATAATAGCAGTGCACACCAAAATGCTATGCTGAAACACACCCTAGGGATGTGAAGGACTGGTTGACTCTTCAATAAGCAAATGCTAATCGGATAGTGGACAGGATAGAGGCAGCAAGAGGAGGGGGAGAACAAAGGGGGTACTTCAAAGCTGCAGTGCTGCATGGAGCTCAGGGTCAGCGGGAGAGTCCCCAGCTGAACGCGGGCTTCAGCACTTTCACTTTTGAAGTGTAAGAATAGCCCTAGGGCTGTTACACTTCAAAGGCGAAGTTGCCCTATTGACTAATCGAATAGTTGATGCAAAAATGCATCAACTATTCGATTAGTCAATTACCCAATACTTAACATCCTTACCTTCCTGCTCCCTCCTTTGTGGTCACTGCAGGCACAAATCAAAAGGTTCCTCATTCACATGCACATCATCTTGTCTAAAGACAGATACATTTATGCAAACTAGGAACCTTTTAATTTACACATATAGCAGCCACACAAGGGAGTCACAGTGTAGCTCACTGGTGCACGCTATGTGAACTGCAGGGCAATGTAATTAAGCCTGTAAGAGTTTGCATGGGATTCAATATTTGGCTAGGCCACAGAGTACTATCACTGTTTGCCTCCTATTAATATGTACTTATGTGAATCCTGAAATGGAATTTTTACAATCATGAAGCAGGTGTTTACTGAACAGAATTACATGGAAGTAGTCACTCATTTATATAGCACTAGAAGATTTACCTGGCATTGCTCCAGTCCTTAACTCAATCAATTTTTGTTTTTCTTCATTTAAATCATTGCTCTGGGATGGGGCTGGAGATGAAGGGTTCAGGATGCATGCTGCCCTAAGGAGAGAGGACTACCCCAGCCCTCTCTTCCCACAGCAGTTTGGAGCCAAGTGAGAAGCACCTCTCTATGGCTACTGCAGCTCCAGCAGACACAGCTGGGGGGAGGGAGGGTATATGTACGGGTTAATCTGCTCCCTGCACTACCCAACCAGGATGAGGAATGGAGCAAACTGTGCACATTCCCCTCGCTCCCTGCCAAAGGGGAACAGCAATATTCCTGTTTGGGAAGGAGGGGGTGCTGCAGCCCCACTACCTTCCCTAATGTGCACCTGGAGGGTGGGAGGCTCAAGGCTGGGACAGATAGGGAAGTAGGGCACACCACAGTAAGCCCCTTTCACCCATCTGGTGATTCGGTCTCTGTTCTGTATGGTTTTATGTTTCCCTATACGTATGGGGGATGGGAGGAAGAGCCTCAACTTGCTCCCACACACAACAAAACCTTTATTTTGCTTTATACCATACAGAGGAAGCTGTATACCATATTTGATGGTCCTAGCTCTTACAGTTTAGAAGGAGTTCTTGAACAGATGGACAGACATATCATAGATAAATGCTACTCTAATGTGGTGACTTCTTTGGGCAAATATGCTAGTTAAAAACACAGCTGTAGATTTCCACCAGTCATCCAAATAATTATTACATACGTTATTGGTAGGCTAACAGTTGGAATCAACTTGAAAAGTTTCTGTTAATTACAAGTAGTTAAAGGGAGTTAAATCCCACGAGTTTCTAACAGAAGAGTCTGCCTCACTTTACAGCTCACAACCTCACTATAATCAGACATAAGGGCAATGTTCAGCTTGTTTCAAGATTTCTAAGTATCGTTTATCAAAAGGCTTCAGTAAAGCCATTCTTGATATCTAGATTCTACTTGATCACAGAGGTAGGAGCTCTTGTACCTCAAGAATTTTGCGAAGAAAGAAAGATTTGAGAGTCTAAATACAGAAAATCGCCCAAGCAGCAAGGGCATTATAAAACTTTTTTAAATAGGAAAAATATTTTGTAGTTCAAGAACAATGTTCTTGATAATAATATTCTTAACCCTCTCAATCTAATGGTAATACAAAATAATCAGATACAACCACATCATATATGCAAAAATCTAAATATAGCACAATACATTTTCTACATGAGTAGCAAAAAATATTGTGATCAGTATTCTAATTAGCTAGCCAACAAGCAAACTTCAAGATTATAGTCACAAGAAAACAGTGAGGGGGAATTCCCTGTTTCACATAAATCCAGCAATGGATGCACTATAAAAGAAAAGAGCTTCAGAAATATCAACTGTGTATCAATTGGGCAACTTCTTGTATCATGTTAATTTACTGAAATGAGTTGCTATTAAATGAAATTTTCTGTTGATTAAAAATTTAGTTATATAGTATATAAAAATGAAATTCTCCACTATCAAAATAAGAATTAAATACGGAAAACAGAACTAATTTGGTCAAATAAATTCAACCATTTTATTTATTTCTGATGAACACGTAATCAACATACACATTATATATAAGCGGACACAATTATATCTCTGGAAATTAAATACTGCATATGAGTTGCAACGTTTCTGTCTCACTTAGCTTAAACATTGAAATACTGATACTGTCACACTATAAAAAAAATTAAAACACTTACCTTCGTAATTACTACTGACTGAGCTGGGTAACAAACGGATACTGCTAAAGTGGCAAGCCCAAGTGGATAAGCAATTTTCTTAAATCTAGAACCTGTATAAGCCACACAAATAATTTAAACAGGAACTAGATACGAATGAAACATAGTACTGGATAGCTATATAATTTTAACCTCTGACTCTAGGCAACTACATAGATCAAAATCTAATGCAGATATGACTGGCACAGAGTTAGTTTCTATATTCCAATGGGCCAATTGATGTTTCATTAAAATTTACTGAAGTAAAAAAACGAAGCTACACCTTCAATTATTAAATATTACTAACATCTTCTTTATAAGTAGTCCAGTGTCCACTGTTTCTTATTAAATATTACTAAAATCTTCCTTATAAGTAGTCCAAATTCCACTGTTTATTAATGTTTTGTCTGCCATCACATTGCCCAACTCCCTCACTTTCTCAGATCTTTATGAATACTCCTACCCTTGTATTCTTGACTATTTTACATAATTTTTCAATATCTGTTAATTTTGCCACTTTACTGTTTTCCCCACCTTTTCCAAATCACTAAAGAATATATTAAACATTTGTCCTATTACGTATCATTGAGCAATCTGTTGTTAACACTAATCTCTTACTCCTATTCTTGGTTTACAGTCTCTTAGGGTACGTCTACACAGCAGCACTATTTCGGAATAACATTACAAGCTTTTATTTAGAAATAATATCAAGATGAAGGACTTCTTACTCTGACTCCAGGAACCCTCATTTCACGAGGAGTAAAGGAAGACGAAGGAAGAGCAGTCTTTCTTCGACTTCTTATTGTGTAGACAGTGCCAAAAAGCCAAAGTAAGCTATTTTGACTTCAGATATGCAATTGATGTAGCTGAAGTTGTGCAATTTAATTTGACTTTAGCCCCTCTGTGTAGATGTACCCTTAGTTTCCAATCTATAATAGTTCTTTCATACCAAGATGACTTAAGTTTAATAGCCTAGTGACACAATTCGGGAAAGTTTTTTTGAAAGTCCAAATAAATTATATCTATTTGTTCACTTTTACCCACTATGTCGTTGACACTTAAAATCTACTGACAACAGAAAAAGAACAACATTTTCTTGAATAAACTATGCTGGTTTTTCTGTATCGCCTACTGATTGATGTCATATAACTTTATGTAAGTACTGTTTCAAGCATTTTACCAGGTACTGAAATAAAAATCATTTGCAAATAACATACCCAAACATCTGTTGTAAAAATAAGTATTTGCTACCCTTCAGTGTATAGTACACTATATTAATCAGTTTGCATATTTTTGCTAATAGCTTTACCATTTCAATTCACCCTTGGATAAACACTATTCAGTCCTGGTGATTTGTTGCGCTTTGAGGACTTTTTCATGTGAACCAAGGTCTAATTTATTAACTGCTTCTTGCACTTTTTCTTGAGACCCTTCAAATGCTGACAGTGGCTCATTGTTATTACCTATTGATTGTCATCTATCATGTTTCAAAAAATGCCTATTTTTTCCAAAGTTGCCTTTGATTGCTTTTAACCCCTGCATATTTGATTGCACTTTGAAATCCTTTCCTTATGTCTAGGATGTCAGTTCCCCAATTAGTCCTGTGGTACCTAATGCATTTAAATCCCTCCTTTTTATTGTACTGCCACAGTATCATCCAAACAGTGGGCTATGACATAGATTTGGGGCTGTTTACAAATCCAAGGAAATAAAGATAATTTACAAATGTGATGTTCCAGTCCTGCCCAGGTTCAATGTGTTTGTGGCTTTACCTAAAAATCCTATTGCTGTAAATTTCCAAAATCTAAATCATTACTTTTCCTGACATTTATTCTTATGAACATTTCAGAAGGAAATACTTGTAAACTCTACAGCAATGCAATTAAATATAAAACCTACAAAATTATTTTATAATTTAACAAAAATTAAGTCTGGGGATCTTGAATGTATATTTCATAATTTTATGAAAATTAAATCAAATAATTTTGAATAGATCAGTTCTGTTGAGCACCTCTATTGCTGTCTCAGAGCATCAATTCCCCAATATCTTACACACCTCCATTTTAGCATTTCATGTCATAGCTACCATCATTCTGGCCTAGGAGCACTGAGAGAGACTCTTCAGTGTCCTTTACAAATACTTTTGGATTGGCCAGGAGTATATCAAAAGGTTTAAGATGCTCTAGTTTTCATTGTGAGGTTTAATGGCTATCTAGATTTATATACCTTTCTTATGAACGTAGAAGCAATGATTATGATTATTTATACTGTGTAGTAATTTAAACTAATTATCAAATAAAAAATTACCAAAGAAAATTAAGACATTTCTGATGGCACAATAGGGTCCTATATTGCTAATAATAATTTTAATTATAGAATTAAATATAAAATTGTTATTTTAAAAACAGTAAATTAAACAAAGCTATAAAAGAAAAATGTCTGCTAGCAGCCCTTCTACATAATCTGAAATCTTGTGGGGTTTTTTGGAAATGTAACTGTTCACAAGTATTAAAAAGGTTTTTACCCAAAACTTAAGTCAAAATTGCAGAAAGCATAAAACAAAGTATTATTAAAGATATGTCACACAATTACTAATCTGACAGTGTTTGAAAACAAAACAAAACCAACCAACTAAACAAAAAAAAAAAAAAAAAAAAAAAAAAAAAAAACATACCTCTTCTTGCCAGAACTAAGCCAGTAAGGCCTGAAATTGTAATTACAGCAACTTTTGGAAGAAATTCGGTAGGTGGATTCTTCAGATAAACATATGTAGCTTTAAAAAAAATATCAAAACAGCTATGGTATAATAACTGAAGATTAATCAAATGTCTTTTTTCCCCTTCATTTTAAGACAGAACAGTAAAGTCAAATCTGAATTCTGGGGGAGGCCCAATCTTACAATTGGACCCGCTTTTACAGACACCTGCATCCATGTCCAGCTCCACTGACTTATTTTGCAGGCATACACATGGGAGTCAGAACTGCATATCAGGATTCTAATGTATCATTCACAAAATATACATTTCACAAAGTTCACAATCATGCTCCTAAGACACCTTTTGGTATTTAGTAAAATGCTTGCTCAAAGCAAATGACAGGGTTTTAATTTTTCATTGTTATGTCAAAAATGTACTTTAATATTGATGAGAGGAGATACCACAAGGCTGATATTTCTTGATTTTAAAATAACAATAATGCTCCTATATAGCCTTTTTCATCAGTAGAGCTCAAAGTCTTTCATGATCTTTAATGTATTTATTCTTACGATGCCACATTTTTACAGAACTGAAGCACAGAGAGACTCGCCCAAGGTCACATAGGATGTCTGCAGAGGAGAAGGGAATTGAACTGGGCACACCCAAATCCTAGGCTAGGACCATAACAACTCAACCATCCTTTCTTTCTGTATATTTTTGGCTGTTAATTTCAGAAATGCATCTTTAATACAAAGAGTATTTTTATCTTCAATACCTGAATTAAGATCAAACTGTGAATTATAAATGAAAACTAAACTAAGGAAGCAAGGGAAAGGAATTATTTTCTCCAGCATAGCAGTTTGGTATGGAACAGCTATGTAGCCTCCTCTCTGGTATGGATTGCAAATAGGATTTGGACTGCCTATGCACCTATGTGAAAATTTAAGAATGTGGATCACCCCCCAACACAAACCATGCTTTGTTCTGCTAAGAGAAAACACTAGGGAGAAAAGTTCTGCAGGAGGATCTAGAGACTTTGTATGAGGTTTCTTGCTACATTCCTGTTTTGTTCCACCTTGCAGTACTGTCATGAAAGTTCTTTGATATTTAGCAGCTTCTGAACCTAAAGAGGGACAGGGTAACATATGGCTTCAAACGTCATCTAATATTAAAATAAAAGGAATTACAAGTTAGCTGAGTCATAATTACAAAGACAGCAGGAACTTCCTTTTTGTTTTCAAATAAGAGACTATAGTAAGTAACCTGAAGCCAGTTTCTAGAGAAGACTTCAAATGGCCTTTTGTATTAATAGTGTTTGCTCTAGTACAATACAAATATTTTTGACAGAATTTGCTGTTCTCCAGTATAAACCAGCTTTGCAACTTTCATAGCCAAACAATAAGCAAGAGGAGACTAGTTTTAAATTTTGACAATATGACTCACCTACCTTTTCCAAACTGTATTGAATCCATTATCCCATTTTTAATAAGGACATAGGCATCCTACACAAAAGAAAATGTAGGTAAAGTGAACTTTATTTTAAATTGAAGTCTTCAATGCCACAGATACAAAACTGACACACACTGGAGTACATACTTTTCAACTTTTGTCCAAGAGAATTGAGTAATTACATAACAAGTAAAAGAAACAGATCAGTCAAAAAGCTTTTAAAATGAAAAATGCAAATACATTTCTACTTCACTCCCAGTGTATAAAATGTATATTTAAATTATATGTGGATGGGGTGACAGATATTACAAACTCATGGAATATCTTTAGGGACCACATTGCATTAAGCAACTGAATGGTTTATATATCATTGTGAGCCAGTGAAAGCATATAACTTCAAGGCTGAAGGGCTGCTACAGCTCTTCCAGGAACTAGGAACTGTGTGTGTAAAGGGGGCATAAAGGTGAATCACTCACTTTATAAACACCTACAGAGCAATATGATTCATTGGAACGCGTTCACATACGTGTTCAAACTGGGTTTTCCAGAGACCAACAGAGAGAGTTTTAGGGATAAAAAGGCAGCATTCATACAGCCTCGGGGCTTTCTTTCTGTTCTACAGAACATACTGTCCTGTAGGGGCCCCAAGTCTTGTGGTAAGATCAGAAATAATTTGTCTTACAAGGGCTCCATAAGACTAAGGGGCAAAAACTGGTGTATTTAGTGTGTGTTTAAATCTATTTATTGTTTATTATGCTTTTACCTTACGAATAGACTTACTTGCTTAGAAAGAGCTGTATGGTAACTTGTGACTGCTGGCAATACCAAATTCATAGACCTGAGAGAGAAAACAACACCGACTGCTATGGGCAGACTGGCTTGCTGGAGGTATTGCAGTGTAAGGCAGGGAGATAGGTATCTTAAAACTCCCCAGTCAGAAAGGACTGGGACAAGGGTCCTTGCCCAGAGACAGCTGGAGACTTGACTAGGCACTCTTAGGCTACGTCTTCATTGCCAGTTCTTCTGGCAGAAAATATGCTAATGAGGAACTCATTAGCATAAGTCACAATCTCATTAGCATATTTTCTGCCGTTTTTTTTCACAAAGGGTTTTTGCGCAAAAAGAAGCACTGTGGATTTTTTTTTCAAACCCCTCATTTTGCACAAGATTCTTGTGCCTCTCTGGAACAGGCATAAGAATCTTCCACAAACATCCACATTGCTTCTTTTTGCGCAAATACCCCTTGCACAAAAAGAAACAGCAGAAAATATGCTAATAAGATTGCAACTTATGCTAATTAGTCCCTCATTAGCATATTTTCTGCTGGAAGAACTGGCAGTGAAGATGTAGCCTTAGAGTGGACTATAGAGGGGGATATGGGGCAGTTTCCCATAAATCATGAGAGATAGTACCTTTTAAAATTTCTCCTTCTCTCACACACACAATCACTCTTGTATGCACTGGAAGTTTTTCCAAATTTCAACATAACATTCCTTGAAAAAAATGGTATAGTAATTTAAAAGAAATAATCGTGGAAGAAAAAATAAGAGCATAGAACTGTAAAAAGTTGTTCTTCATTGTATCTGAAATAGGTGATGTAATATTATTTAATAGAATATGTAAGTTTGGGAACACCCACAACAGGCCTTTCAGTAACAAAAAAGGAATAGCCATCAATAGTCAGACGGTCTAATTGCTCATCAACAACCAATCTGCTATCCCAGAGGCTTCTCTGAGAAGACACATCCACAATGGAGACCACTTGACCAATGGGGATCATCTGACTCCCATATCCCAGTGAGAATCTTTCAAGCAACCAGAAGTATAAAAGAAAGACAGTGACATCATCATTTGGCCTCTCCCCCGTCCCAATTCAACATCTGGAAGAATGTCTGGAGGACAAAGACTTTGGAGTGTGGAAATTTGGTCTAAGACTGAAGGAGCCCTAGCCTGTGCATTGAGGAACTGAAATCTGCTTCTTCTATCTGTCAGGGAGAGAAAAACTATTTCAATTTAGCCCTTCACTCAACTGGACGTTTAGGATTTAGATGTGTTTTTACATTTTATTTTCTTAAGGTAATTACATCTGACCTTTATGATTACCAATTATAATCACTTACATTCTTTTTATGTAGTTGTTAAACATATTTTAATGTTTTATCTTAACAGAGTTTGTTAAACTTCTTGGGAAATCTCAGCTCAGGTTACAAAGACTGGTGCACGTCCACTTTCCTATCAAAAAGTGGTGAACTAAGTAGTCATGCTTCTGACTAGTGCAAGACAGTATAATTCTCGGATGCAAGACTGGGCATCTGGAGGAAATTTGTTGGAGCCTCCTTATTGATGGTTCATGAGTAGCTGGGAGATCATGCATGTTACATTTTTGATGTTTATGGATGTTTGTGTGAGTGCAGTGCCTATCAGAGACTTGTAGTTTGACATAAGCATCACAATGTGAGAAAGAACCCAGGCTGGTGGGACAGAAGGCTCAGTGGTCCGACAACACAGGTTGCGCTCTGAGGGCTCATCACAGTGCACACTCCCACAACAAATGGAATGAGGGAACCAATATAAAGTGTTATTGGCTTTTTACATGTTGGCATATATTGTACACAACTTGAAGGTAAGGAATGCTGTGGTTTCCGCAATGTGCTCAGCAAAACACCCTAGAGGTATGTCTACAGGAAGATTAGAAATTATGAAGGATTACATGGATTCACTGTGAGTTAGATCTGGTGTACACTAGGAACTACTGCCAGTATACTGATGTGATTATTTTTACTACATTTTTTATGCTGGCAAACCTCCTGTTGGAGATGTAGTTTATACCAGCAGAAGAGTGCTTCTGATGATACAGTTTATCCTAGCTCCCTAAGTAAAATAAACTATGCCAGCAAAAGTGTATTTTTGCCAAAATAATGTGTTTACACAGAATTCCTGGTAGTACAGAAGTCGTCCCCTACCCCCAAAAAAAACAAAAACAAAATAAAAAACCCAAGCAATATTTCTATACCATCAAAACCTTAAATGTACAGCTGGCCTGTAGTTTAGATCCAACTGTGGCCAGTATTATTCAAAAGATATTAAAATTGTGACAGTTTTTCAGAATCGTTATCCAAGATCAATTGGTCGTTTCAGTCAGTTGCTAAAGGACCAAGGTGCACTTTAGAAAACTACTGTCACCTTTGTGGAGAAACACATAAGTTCACTGACAATGTCATTTCTAGAAGCAGTTTCAAGATAGCATAGGGAAACTCTTAGGTTTTGTCTTCACTGCAAGTTCTTCCGGTAGAAAATATGCTAGAGGGGCTCATTAGCATAAGTCGAGATCTCATTAGCATATTTTCTGCCGTTTATTTTTGTGCAAGGGGTTTTTGCACAAAAAGAAGCAGTGTGGACTTTTTTGTGTGTGCAAAACCCCATTTTGCGCACCTCCGCCCCCGCGTCCACACTGCTTCTTTTTGCACAAAAAGAAATGGCAGAAAATATGCTAATGAGATATCAACTTATGCTAATGAGTCCCTCATTGGCATATTTTCTGCTGGAAGAACCTGCAGTGAAGATGAAGCCATACTGAGGTACCTTCCATTCTATAATTGCTATATAGAATAAGAAGGGACTTTAATTTCTAAGACTATGAATCTGATGTATTTCACACACTACACTGATGTATTTGAAATGCTTGCAGGTCATTCTTTAGCTGACAGAGTTATATACAGGGCTTGCCAAGCAGCGCAGTATTGCGCATTTCTGCGCATGGGCAGATCACTCTGTGCCGGCTCTTCCGGGTTGTAATCTACTCGCCATGGGCGAGTAGATTACATTATTTGTCTAGCCCTGTTTATATATATGATGCTTTGCTGCACAAGTGATTATTCCTTTTTGATCTAGTCTAAACTAAGGATGTTAAGTATCAGATAATTGACCAATCAAATAGTCAATGCATTTTGCATTGACTATTCGATTAGTCAATAGGGCACCTCAGCCTTTGAAGTGTAGCAACAGCCATAGGGCTGTTGCTACACTTCAAAGGTGAAAGTGCCACGTGGTGCCTGGAGTCACAGTGTTTCAAAGTGGCAGCGCCACATGGTGCCCATGGTCAGTGGAGGAGTCCCCAGCTGATCCCAGGCTCCGTGCGGCACTGTTGCTTTGAAATGCTGGGAGGAGCCCTATGCTGAGCTCCCCGCAGCATTTCAAAGCGGTAGCAACACACGGAGCCCAGGGTCAGTGGGGGAGTCCCCAACTGATCCCGAGTTCCATGTGGTGCTGTCGCTTTGAAATGCCGCATGCAGCCAAGGGTCCCAGCTGGCCTCGAGTTGCACACAGTTTTTCAAAGTGGCAGTACCGCGTGGAGCCCAGGGTCTGGACCAGGCCTCAAGCAGCGCTTTAAAGTACTGCCTCTACTCCTCCCCCTTGCTGCCTCTATCTGACAGAGGTAGCGTGGGGTGGGAGGAAGTGACTAGTTGATTATCCTGTTGACTAGACAGTCACGTCACATCCCTAGTCTAAACAGTAGAAGCAAATCTCACATCTACATTAGGAAATTATTTTGAAATTACTAAATTTGAAATAACAACTTGAAATAACTAATTTGAAATAAGCTTATTCCCTGAGAAAAGCAAGAGTAAGATTTTGAAATAAACAGCCATTATTTTGAAATAACAGACTGGGTAATGTGAATGTTCCGCTCATTATTTTGAAATAACTCCCTAGTATAGACCAGGGCAAAGTGATTACAGAATGCCCTATTTTTAAGATAAAAGACAAGGCACACTGAACTTATATTAAAAGGAAGCATAGAAACATTTTGCTTTTACTTTACTTTTTTAAACATTCATAATAAGCACAATTAATAGATGATTAATAAAGGAAAATATGATGACGAATGTCAAAATAACAATGTTCGCCATTAAGAGTTATTATTTGTTAACAGTGATGAGATAGTCAGAGCTGAGATACAACAATTTTGCTCTACACTTGAAATATTAAACATCTCTAATAATTGCATGGTATTTATTCCCAAATTACTACTTTGTTTTGGAAATCACTACATGTTTCAAGGATTCTAACAACATAACCTTTTCAGTCATTGTTTCTTAAATTACACAAAACAGTTCAATACTGACTGGCAGCCACAGAGAATTATTCAGGAGAGGTATGTGAAATCCAGTTGATCTTAAGTGTAAAGATGAGAATGACAAAGTGATAAATCAAATCAGAGTATCACCATTATAGTTTGTTATAATAACATGCTATCTCCAGATTCCTTCCAAAAGAGTGAGGGGTTATTTTAGTACAAAAAAGCAATTTATAGTGACTGGTGACCCCTTCTCAAAAGGATACTCACCCTGAAATTTAGTCAATGTAAAATAAAAATAGTTTACATGTTATTTTCAGATACTACACTTTGCCTTAATAACTTCTACCATTTTTTGTATTTTATAAACAGGACTTCATTTTTGTAAATATTTTCTCTTCACTTTTGTTGTATGAAAGAGTCTCACAAACAAAAAGGAAAATTGACTATCTGGGGGAAACTGTGAAGTTGGCTATACACAAAATATTTTCAAATTCATAAAGTAAAAAAACCCAAAAAGACACAGGAGATAGCCATGGTAGTCTGTATCTGCAAAAACAATAAGGAGTTCTGTGGCACCTTAGGGTACATCAACACAGCAGCGTTATTTTGGAATAACGGATATCATTTTAAAATAACAAAATGCATGGCTACGCAGCAAGCCATTATTTTGAAAAATGTTGCAATGGAGTACTTCTTACTTCAACTTTATAACCCTCATTTCACAAGGAGTAAGGGAAATTGAAGGAAGAGCATTCTTCCTTTGACTTCCTGCTGTGTAGACAGTGCCAAAAGCCAAATTAAGCTATTTCGACTTCAGCTATGCAATTGATGTAGCTGAATTTGCATATTTTAATTTGACTTTTGTCTTGCAGTGTAGATATGCCGTAGAATTTGCAGATTTATTAGCACATAAGTTTTCATGGGTAAAACCCACTTCATCAGATAAATTGGAGTGGTGTTATTAGAATCATGGGTATATCTATAAGGGCAACAAAAGAAAGAGAGTACTTGTGTCAACGAGGCTAATCAAATCAGTATTGAACCTTTTCCTTCTTAGGGAATATTGCATTTATACTTAGCATGAGGATAGAGTATGCATGAAAATGAAAGTCAAGGCAACCTTCTACATAAACTGTATGAATGTGCAAAAAAATTCTTAGTTGAAGAGGACAAGGCCAAAGATATGATAATAACACAGTCTTTAAACAGTGAGATTAACAAATGAACATATATGGAAAATTTGGTCCCATTTCTGTAAAGAATTATGCCTCAGTTAATATGTCTATTGAGCAAGGGTAGGATATCGACTTTATTTTTAAAAGTGATTTAGATTAAACAGACAAAAATTAAAATGCAACAGCACTGGAAAAGAACAGTATAGCTAACATATGTCACTCTTATTTTAATGAAGTTGTGATTTTGAATGCTTCCATTAGATCAGAAGGGGAACAATATATTTGGTGGGGGACCACTAAGATTTTGGGTAAGTGATCAAAGGCTGCACTTTTCTATGGAGGAGAAGTGGGATCTAGGATGGAGGCTGCGTACAGAAGGGCATATGGGGTAAGTGACTGGGGTGCAGGTGATGGTGTGGGGTCTGAGAGGATGTTTGGGTGAAGGAGCGGGGTGTGACCTGGGGAGGGGAATGGGGTGCAGCGTCTGGGAGGGTGCAGGAGAGGATTCTGGTCTGAGGGAGGGATGTAGAAGAAGTACAGGGTCTGGGAGGGAGCTGTGACCTTGGGAAGGGGGGTGCAAAGGGTGTGGATGGTAACCTGGGAGACAGCTTAGGGATGCCAGAAGCAAGCTCTGGCTGGGAGGCACTTATCTAAGCATCTCCCGGCCTGTTGCTCCCCCAAGGTAGGCTGAGGTCCCTGCAGCCCCAGACTGCTTGAAAATATAGGCTCCTCCCTCCACGTGACTCAACTCCAGGTGAGGGAAAAGGATTGCACTGCCCCCTGCTCCCAGGCCAATCTCTCAGCTCCAATTGTCTGGTTGTTTCCAACCAATTTGAGCTGAGAGATCGGCTGAAGTCAGTTTTTATTGGCCGGTTATTTCTGGCCAATAGGAGCTGAGGATTGAGCTAGGGGCAGGGAGATCACACAAAGTTTCCCTCCTGCATGAACAGCAGACAAACATAGGGACTGCTCTTTAAACTGGGGCAGCTGCATGCTTGGGCATGCCAGCAAGGTGGTCCATGGGCCAGATCCAGTGGCTTGGAGTTCCGCAAGTGGAGATCCAAGTGGAGTTCCACAAGGGTCTGTTTTGGGACCTGTACTGTTCAATATCTTCATCAATGATGTAGATACTGGGATAGAGAGTACGCTTATTAAGTTTGCAGATGATACCAAACTAGGTGGGGTTGCAACTTCTTTGGAGGATAGGGACATAATTCAAAATGACCGTAGCAAGTTAGAGAAATGGTCAGAGGTAAACAGGATGAAGTTTAATAAAGAGAAATGCAAAGTGCTCCACTTAGGAAGGAACAATCAGTTCCATACATACAAGATGGGAAGCGACTGTCTAGGAAGGAGCATGGCGGAAAGGGATCTAGGGGTCATAGTGGACCACAAGTTGAATATGAGTCAACAGTGTGATGCTGTTGCAAAAAAAGCAAATATGATGCTAGGTTGTATCAACAGGTGTGTTGTAAGCAAAACTCGTGAAGTCATCCTGCCGCTCTACTCTGCACTAGTTAGGCCTCAGCTAGAGTACTGTGTCCAGTTCTGGGCACCACATTTCAAGAAAGATGTGGAGAAATTGGAAAGGGTACAGAGAAGAGCAACAAGAATAATTAAAGGTTTAGAGAACATGACCTATGAAGCCAGGCTTCATGAACTGGGCTTGTTTAGTTTGGAAAAAAGAAGATTAAGGGGGGACATGATAGCGGTTTTCAAATATCTAAAAGGGTGTCACAAGGAGGAAGGAGAAAATTTGTTCCTCTTGGTTTCTGAGGACAGGACAAGGAGTAATGGGCTTAAAGTGCAGCAGGGGAAGTTTAGATTGGACATTAGGAAAAAATTCCTAACTGTCAGGGTGGTCAAATATTGGAATAAATTGCCAAGGGAGGTGGTGGAATCTCCCTCTCTGGAGATATTTAAGAACAGGTTAGATAGACATCTGTCAGGGATGGTGTAGACGGAGCTTGATCCTGCCTTGAGGGCGGGGGGCTGGACTCGATGACCTCTCGAGGTCCCTTCCAGTCCTATTATTCTATGATTCTATGAAAAGAGATAGACATCTGTCAGGGATGGTGTAGACAGAGCTTGGTCCTGCTTTGAGGGCGGGGGGCTGGACCCGATGACTTCTCGAGGTCCCTTCCAGTCCTATGATTCTATGATTCTATAATTGAAACGCAGTGATAAATAAAAAGTGACCTGTTAAGCACACTGCTGTTTGGTTTGGACTGCAGAGAAACAGAAAAGATCATCTCCCTTTACACACACCTTTCTTGGCTCTCTACTAAGCTCAGGACAGGAGTACCATTCATACTTGTCCCTTATACACCATGGTTATTTTGATTCAATGAAGTGCCCAACAAACTGGATGGAATAAGTATATTATTAAAGTACAGCATAAGTATTAAGTCAAGAATTCAAACACATTCAAGCATCAAACTATATTTCTTACCTTGCATCGCTCAACGTAACGACTAGTTTTGTTTCTCAATGTAGAAAACCCCACCTGCAAATGACCAGGCTCTTCTTCAATGTATCTAGATTTCAGAGGCGGCACACAATAAATGGGGAGCTGAAAAGAAAAAGAACCTATTCTATTGAGGTAGTTTTAGAAACCTACAGAAGTCATTAGATGCAAATAGTAAATTTTAGAAACAACTTTAAAAAAAATAGCAAATGGTCTTTCTTCCCATAAGAAAACAAAGCCTCCATACCATGTTATATCTATAAATTTACTTTACAGAACTGGTGCTGATTAATTAAATTCTTGGTGAGGAGAAGCATTATGTAAGTATTAATAATTAGCATTATTATAGAATATGATATAGTCACACACACTCCTACTTTAGAAAATAAAATGAAGGCAAGAATTGGAAAACAAGTCTTTTTAATATTAAACTCTATATAAACATGTGATATTACTTAAAATTTAACTTTACAGAAATAGTAAAATGCAAGTCTCATTAAATACTGTTGTGCTGAATTGTGGCTAGGTGTGTGCCTGACTTCTGGTTGATAATGTGAAGTGTCAGTATGAAAAAAACAGTGTATGTAGATCCAATAAATCTCACAGGTCCTGTATATATTTTAGGTGAATGACAGTACTTAAACCACACAACGGTTATAGAGAAACACTACTGTATTCTTGCATGTTCAAAAGTTTCAGAGGGATAGCTGTGTTAATCGGTAAGGCTGTGTCCAGACTCAGGGGTTTTTTCGGGAAAAGTAGCCTTTTTCCGAAAAACCTTCACCTGCGTCTAGACTGCAGCTGCGTTCTTTCGAAATTAAAACGAAAGAACGCGGCTTTTCTTTCGACGGCGGTAAACCTCATTTCACGAGGAAGAAAGCCTTCTTTCGAAAGTGCTTCTTTCGAAAGAAGGCATTCTTGTATGTAAATAGGGCTTCTTCGAAAGAGAGCATCCAGACTCACTGGGTGCTTTCTTTCGAAAAAGCGGCTTGCTCTTTCGAAAGTTCCGCGTGCAGTCTAGACGCTCTCTTTCGAAAGAGGCTTGCAGTCTAGACATAGCCTAAGGGTGCATCTACACAGCACAGTTATTTTGAAATAACAGCCATTATTTTGAAATAACAATGCAAGTGTTTACATAGCAATTCCATGTTTTTGAAATAATGGACATCTTATTCTGAAATCTGTAAGTCTCATTCCACGAGGTATAACGCTTATTCCGAAATAGCTATTTCAGAATAGTAGTAGTGTGGACACTCTACTGTTGTTATTTTGAAATAGCGCCTCCTCAGGGCCATTCAAAGCAATTACTCCCCAGTGCCTCCTGGAGTTCTAATTCGAGGTAGCACATCCACATTAGAAAAGCCTGCATTGGACTAATTTTGAGGCTTCCCAGTAGTAGATGGTATCATGAGCTTTCATGAGCAAGTGGGATGTGCCTACGAAACCTCATAATATATTTGTTAGTCTCTAAGGGTATGTCTACAATAGCTCGTTAATTCGAGCTAGGTAGGCAAATCAGTCAACCGGAGTTGCAAAGGAAGCCCGGGATTTAAATATCCCGGGCTTTATTTGCATGTTCCTGTCCGGCCGCCATTTTTAAATCCCCCTTAGTCCAGACTAACTGCCCGCGGCTACACACGGCAGTTTAAAGTTAATCCGAACGAAGTCCTTAGTTCAGATTAACTGTTACTCCTCATTCCACGATTGACCAGTAGATTGCGAGGCATTTGGGCACCCCTGAGAAGCCCCACTACCTACCTCTAGTGTAGTGCAGGCTTCCTGCGGGGTGGATGGAAGTCCTGTCTGAAGCCCGGAAGATCCCGGGGATTCCGGAAGTGCATGGGCTGCTCCCCTCCCACAGCTCTGTTGCATGCTGGGGGAGGGGGCGTCAGCCCTGGAGGAGGAGTGCGGCAGTTTCCCTGCGCTGCCGGCGTGGGAGGGCTGAGTCGAGTGCAGGGCTTTCCCTGGGCTGCGGGAGCAGGGGGTTGGCTCCGGGGTTTGGCCTGGGGCAGGCACCCGCGGGGGTTTGGCCGCGCTGCGGGAGGGTGAGGGGGGGATTGGCTTGGCTTCCCTCGGGGGAGTGTGGGGGAGAATCCTGGGAGGAGGTGATAGCAGGGGACTCGCTGCCCCCACTTCCCCCTGTTCCCTCTCCTCAGCTCCCCAGTCTCAGAAACCTGTCCCCACTGACACCCTCTCCCCTTCCCTCTCCCCAGCTCTCCAGTCTCAGAAACCTGTCCCCACTGACACCCTCTCCCCTTCCCTCCTGGTACCCTCTCCCATCTCCTATCCCCAGCTACAGAAACCTGTCCCCACTGGCACCCTGTCCCCTGCCCTCCCGGCACCCTCTCCCATCCCCAGCCTCAGAAACCTGTCCCTATTGGCACCCTGTCCAAACAGGTTCCCTGCCCTTCTCATAAATAAAGACAATGCAGAAACTTTTTGTGTTTGACATAGTATTTTATTTGAAAATGAAGCCTGGCCAAAAAACCCCAACTGGGGCCAAGCCCCCATCTGGCCACAGCATCATGACACTCCTGCACTCCCCTTTCCCCCAGATCCTACATCTCAGCCTCATACACTGGAACCCCCTGCTCTGAACCCGTCACATACCCCAACCCAAATTCCTGAACCCTACATCCAGAAGTCTGGCTTACTTAGTATCCTAACCCTACATCTGACCCCAACACTGCCCGGCCTGGAACTCCCTCCCCAAGCCAGTGTTCCCTTATCCACTTCCTCCTGCATCCAGATTTCCTCCCAGAGCACGCACCTTTCACCCCTTCCTGCACCCAAATCCCTCATTCCCACCCCGGAGCCTACACATCCTGTCTCAAGCCAGTGAGGATACGTCTAGACTGCAGGAGTTTTTCAGGATTCCGGAGATATCCCAGAAAAACTCTTCTGCATCCAGGGATGTGTTTGTTCTTCCACTTCTTTTAGTGGAAGAGCAAACATGATCTTTCGGTCACCCCATAGTCCTCTTTCCACGAGGAATAAGGGGGCTTCCAAAAGAAGGGTTTTTTCTGACATTTGGTCAAGTCTAGACAGGCCAAATGTTGGAAAAACTTCTTCCTACAGAAGAATTGGGGGGTGGGGGGGGGAGCAGCAATGTAAGGGCTGGGGATAGCAAGTGATGGAGAGGAGGTGAACAGAGAGGGCGGGGCTTCAAGGAAGGGGTGGGGCAGTAGATCTTGGCTTGTTCTGTCATTTAAAAAGTGATCTTGGGTGTAAAAAGGTTGGAGACCACTGTGTTAGACTGTGCAAACTGCATGTGCGCATTAACTGCTTCACCCTCCTGATAATTCACCATTAAACAGAAGCTTCACATATTTTGGGTGGAGTTCTGCAACAGGACCTGTTTAAGTACAAAGAGTTTGAAAGAGCAGATATTGGTTTAAGGGGCCAAGCAGATGGACAATTTCCAGCTCTCTGTAAGGAGTGCCACTGGACAGTATAACTAAAGTTCCCAAGTTTGGAGCAGTGGCTGGACTCTATTCAGACTCCAGGGACTTAAACAGAAGTTAGGGACCCAAAAACACAAAGAGGCTTGGATTCCCTCTCAGCAATCCTAGTGAGTGGCCAAGTGGAGTCATTCGGTACGAACTGTGATAACTGTATTCCCTCCAGCATGGGCTACACCCATAAATCTATATTAATTATTATTGTTATTATTATACTTCACAAATATTTATTCTGTAACTATCTATATTTTGATAATTTATAATAGCATATAAAGTAATGCTATAGTATTCCAAATCTTCTTCTAAATATTATTCTTTGTTTTCTCTATGATACAGTTTACAGTAAAAACTGGTAAATGCATGAGACAAGAATCATACCTGATTTGGCTTCACCAAATGGGCTTTTGATTCTTCTTCTGTTGCAGCATATACATTAATAGATACAAATGCCAGACCAGCTGGGATAGCTGTTAGTTTTGCCATCTGTGGGGAGAGAGGAATGAGAGGTATGAAAGAGAGAGAAACAAGAATAATTATTTGTTAATTGGGAAACTATGCTTTCTCCTCTTCACTAAAATCCAGAGGTCATTTCAATAACACTATTGCCTGTGTGACTGATCTAACAACAGAACAAGTATGTCAAACAACTTTAAATTAAGAATCACGTTAAGAAAGTACCCTTCAAAATCGAATTCTATCAAGGCAAAAACATCAGAAACCTTGTTGATACCACAAAAGTACAAGAGATTCAGTGCATGAAAAGTGCAGAACACTATATTGGTATTGCTCTACTACTCGTGTTTTCTTTAGCAATTTTTATTCATCAGAACTGTATCTGAGATTCTGTCTGAGACTACACTATTATATCAACTGTGAGTTTCAGAGAGCAGCCATTAACGTTGTTTCCCACTGTCCATACCATAATGCTGTGTCTGAGTTAGGGATGTAAGCGACTAGCTGAGTTACTACCCGACTAGTCACTTCTTCCTCTCACTCGTACTGCCTCTATCAGAGGCAGCAAAGGGAAGGAGCAAGAACTGGTGCTGGGGGGGCTCGCTTAAAAGATGTCTCAGCTCACACCTAGTCCCAGATGCTGTGCCTCTGCCTTTTAAATGCAGTAAGAGATGCCAGGTTAGCTCCCAGGGCTGGGAGGTAACCCCGCTGTAGTTCTGCTGTTTGCCCTCTTATCGATTAATCGACTAGTCAATGGAAATTCCATCGACTACTCGATTAACTGATTAAAGGCAATTTACATCCTTAGTTTGAGTACCTCTATTTTATTTAACGAAATACTGACAGAATGGTTGGGTCTAACAAAATAAATAATAATACATCAGAAAGAGTATGTTTTGCAGTAGAATCTAGGCTATCACTCATGCCTTATTTAACTAGACACTGTATAAATAAAGACGAGGTGATACCAAAGAATACGTATTTTCCTCACCACAAAGGTTTTCTATTAAAAATAGTTCATAGCAATGTATATCAATAAATTCTGCTTCTTAAATCTTGGATTTTACTCGTGTTATAATACACACATATTTATTTATTTTAGTATTTTATAGAGACGGTATGTTTTATCTTTGGGTTCTATCTCAGATTTTGCCAACTACTGGCTGTGTGACGAGGACATAGCACTTGGGCTGAAACATATACTTTAAGCTGATTTTCATAGGTGTTGAACATCTACATCTTCACTGTAAGTCAATTAGAACTACAAGTGGTTACCACTTCAGAAAATCAGGCTCAGTGTGTCCAAACTAGATATCCAAAAGTCATTATATGCTTTTGAAAACGTATGTCTTAATCTCTAATAATAATATTAATACTTGCTTATCACAGTTATGTTGGATGGCTTAAAAGGTTTAGATACATTTTAAACACTGGCTTATGTAGATTATAGTGCAGGGGTGGCCAACCAGATAGTGACGAAGAGCCAGAATAGCTCTGCATAGAGTGCGAAGTGCCACGTATTATATATTTATTTTGATAGATAGATAGATAGATAGATAGATAGATAGATAGATAGATAGATGTACACAAAATATAAAAATAAATATAATAAAAATAACATTACAGGACATTTTGGACAACAACTAATAAAAAAGTCTCTAGTCACTTAAAAAAATTCACAACCAGTCCATAGATTTTCAGAAAAAAAAGGATCCCCACCATGAATTTTAAATTTAACACTACTGCCCAATTATGTCCTGTGAGTTTTTTAAAATTAAACTGAACTGAGAAGTAAATTAGCACAATTTGAAGTACCTATTTCACTACAGCTTGTTGATCTCTCTGGTATGGTTTCCTTTTTTTTTTTTTTTTTTTAAACTTATGAAGATTATGGCTTTTTTATAATTCAGGTCTGTCCCAGACTGCAAATACGAGAGGTTCAAGAACAATAAGAGAGAGGCTCATATCTCAGAATAATTGCTTCAGCCTGGCAAATAATAGCCTTTGAATTTTCTTTAAAGAAACAGTGTAAACCAGGTACATGCTGATTCTTTTTTTGCCCTGGAATTTAAATATGACATCTGTGTTGGCTGCCTTATTCTGCATCCATGAAGACTTTGAATTTAAGGTGCTTCATCCCCCCCCTCCATACGCCACCGCTCTCCCAGAGCCAGGCACCCTCAGCTGCCCCGCCACTCTCTCTAACCCAATCTCCCTTCTTTCCCCCAAAACCAGGCACCCACAGCCCCCTGCTCTAACCCAATCTCCCTCCTCTCCCCCAGAGCCCAGCACCCCTAGCCACCCTTGCTCTAACCCAATGCCCTCGCTCTCCCCCACAGCCAGGCATCCCCAGCCCCTACCCCGCTCTAACCCAATGTCTGGGTCCCGGTGCCGCCGCCGCTACATGTTTCTCCCTTCAGGCACTGGGGCGCATGCGCAGAGTGGCCGGACATGAGCAGTCTGGGTGTGCACCTCAGAACTAGCAAGAGCCGCATTTCTTTAAGCAAAGAGCCACATACGGCTCGAGAGCTGCAAGTAGGCCACCCCTGTTATTAGGGTTGCCAGATGATTTCAACAAAAATACCGGTCACACTTGACATTACATCACAATCTACATTACATCTTACTTAAAAAATACTGGGCATTTATATTTTCTCAATTTGTTTCCTGAACTGAAAGCTCAAATACTAGACAGTCTGGTTCAAAACCGGACACCTGGCAACCCTACCTGTTATAGTGGGTTGCTTGAATCTCCACTCCCAGCAGTCTGGTTGTGTTTAATGTAAAAGTAAAATATGGAAAGTGGCATAAGCAACTAGGTAAAATTTATTATTTTTGCAAATGTGGTTGAAATACAGTATCTTTTCATTTGAGCCTGGGAGCTAAAGATAAGGTGTTTACTGTTTTATAGTAAGAAAAAATGAATTACAAAAACGAATGTGCATATAGCATCTTGAGTACCTGTTCAAAAGTTTCAGAGGGGTAGTCTGTAACTGAAAAAAAAACCCTTTAAAAACAATTAATAGTCCTGCAGCGCCTTAGTGCAGCGTTTCTCAAGCTGTGGGGGTTGCAAGTAACTTAGAGGGGGGGTCGCAGCTGGATTCGGTTTTTCACTTGCGACCCCTTTCCCCCAGGCTGGATTCCAGGAGTGCGGCTCAGTTGCAGAAGGAGGCAAGGTGGCGGGAGAGTGATGCCGGCGCAGGAGCAGACGCGCGAGGGGCCAAGTGGGACACGGTTGCTGGGCAACCGAACACTTCCCGAGATGGGAGAGGGCGGGGTCCCTCAGGCAGCGGGCTGGGGGATTGGGTAGGGGCAGAGGACCTGGAGGTAAATAAAAGCACATGAAGGTCGGAGGAGGAAGCAGAGGAGAGGAGGGGGGGGAGGGAACCCCAAAGGGAATGAGGTATAAAGGAGAAAAGGATGGGGGGAAGGGCGCTGAGGTCTGCAAACGCCTTGAAGAAACCCCAGGAGGGCAAGGAGTCTGGTGAGAAGGGGGGAAGAAGCGACTCATGGCAGTGAGGGTGGTCACACAAATTCATTTAGCATTTTAGGGGGTCGTGGTATCACAAAGTTTGATAACCCCTGCCTTAGAGACTAACAAAAAATATAGATGGTATTATGAGCTATCATGAATATCTGTTTGCACACACTACCATTGGCTTAATTTATTTACTATCCTTTTCCATTTTTACTTTAGCATTTGTTTAATTTGATGTTCATCTTCACATGACTCTGTTGATATGTCTGGCTCAGTCAGCTTCTATACTTTGAAAAATCAGTACAAACAAGCAAGCAAGCAAATGCACGCAATCAATATACACACTCAAATATGAGTACAGTTCTACCAGTAGAAACCTACCTAATGCAAGAAATACTACACTGATCATAGTATAATGGACAGGAAAAAGTGTTCGGTATAAAAAAGTTTATATTGAACTTCTAGCTCAGCTGCTGGGGAGACTTCGCTTTATACTGCAGAGCTCATTACACTTATAACCTTGTAACCACTAGAATTTTTAGCGATTACATGGTTACCTTTTTTTTTTAAAATCTACTTTTTACATCCCTAGTTTGGAGCTCAAGACCTCTGGGCATGGGGAGCTCAGTGAAGATGGCATATTCAGAGATATTAGCTGAAAGCCTCTACAAAGTATATGCAAACAAACATTATCAGCAGTTTATAACTTGGCCACATCTGGATACATTTCCGTGGGGATAGAAATAAGTGCCTCTTACACCAAGGATTGGTCATTGCCAATTTCAAGCTCCTATTTCAAATCACAAAGATGAAAAAGCTATTCATAGAAATGGTTTGAAAAAAATAATTTTAATATGAGCATAGTTAGATATTTCCCCAACCACATTTTCTGTAATGGCAATTTTTTTGGATGAAACATGAACAAATAAAAACATCCACCTCAGGCAGAAAGAAAAAGCACGGAAAATTTGAGGGCCATTGGTTAAAGTTTTGTAACATTATAAGCAAATGAGAATGGGTGCTTGCATAGTAAGATGAAGGCTCAGAACATAAGCCCATGTATCACTGTCCTGGTGTGAGGACTTTGGTAACAGACAGCAAAGCTAAGCTGTTCACAGAAGTTAGCAAGAACAGAGCTGATATTACAGAAACACTCATACCTAAGAGATAATAAGCACAAGCAGTAAGCACATTCCAGAGGAATCATAACAGTACCAAAATGTTTCTTCATGGGGTGTTCTAACACACTCCCCCACAGATAACAGACATATTGAACCTGGTTCAGGACAGGGTAAAAAATGACAGCATGATACAATGATAGATAGTGATCAACGCCCCCATGTACAAGGTATGTGGCAACCTGATACATCTAAAACAGGCCTGGGCAAAATATGGCCCGTGGGCCACATCTGGCCTGCCAAGCCACCATATCTGGCCCGCGTAGCCAGAGGGGTGCCCCAGGCAAGCTCCCCAGCTTGCTCGGCAGCCTTGTGCACCTGGCAGAAATGCAGCTGCAGGGCTGCATTTCTGTTTTAAAACTGAAGGGGAAGGA